CATCCAAGTATCTTTTAGTTTCTCTGGAATAAGCCAGAAGTAGATAAACCTGTGTTTAGTAATGTTTCAGTATTTTATTAGCAAATGATCTGGATATTTGATGAATTTAACTTAATTCATCACTTAGCAAAAAACTTTAAGGTTTCAAGGTACCAAGAAGATTTGGAAGATTTGGAAAACTAAAAAGTTTACCTAAAACTTTTTTTCCTTAAGTGTATTCATTTATTTATTTTGGGAGAGCGAGCGAGGGAGCATCAGAGACGGTGAGAGACAGAATCCCAAGCAAGCTCCATGCTGTCATTGCAGAGTCTGACACAGGGCTCAAACCCATGAACTGTGACTTCATGAGAGCCGAGATCAAAAGTTGGATACTTAACCAACTGAGCCACCCAGGAACCCCTCCCTAAAATTTTTTATCTACTCAGTCTATGTGTTCTTACCTGTGAAAATTTCATGAGACATTAGACAAAATCAACCATCATTCCGAGTCATTTTTGCTGACAAATTGCAGTAGATAAACATGAACTTAACTAGTAAATTTGATTATTTCAATTGCGTTTGATGTTGAAAACTCTTAAAGATATGCCTGTTGTAATTAAACCAGCTAAGTTAAAACTTTTTTTTTTTAAACAAATTTAGTACCATCCAGAGGTAGAAAATGCCACATAACACATACGTACAGACACATGTGAACACACACAGAGACTTTATAGCTTCTGTTTTAAAATGACTCTCATGAAATAGGTACAAAACTCATAAATGTTGGAACTAAATTTGTTTTTTTGGTAGATAGAATAAGATAAGATAACCTGTGTAGATGGCTTACCCTTTTTCCACTTACATTTGGAGAAGACACTTAAGATTTGTATGTCTGCTTATTTGTTCATTCATTCAACTCCATGCTGGGCATGGAGGCCAATTTGGGGCTTGAACTCACAACCCTGAGATCAAGACCTGAGCAGAGATCAAGAGTTGGACACTTAACTGACTGAGCCACCCAGGTGCCATAGGATTTGTATGTCCTTTTAACAGAAACCAAATTCTAATTTTGCACCAGCTTTTGACATTAAAATAAATTCATTTTAGTTTTAGCCAGCTTGACCACACATGAAATTCCTTGTCAATATTCCTTTTCACACACCTTCTACAACTTTCTACCTTCTGATTTTGTCATTTTTTTCTCTTTAAACCATCAGATGCTTTTTAGTATAAAATCACTTTTCTATTCCCCAATAAAAAAGCATCTCCATTTCTCATACCTTCTCCTACTGAAAACACATCCTACTTAACTGGCATACAGACATGTTTTCCATGAGTTCCATGGTTTAGCATCCCAGTCTGGCTTCAAATTACGGCTAAAATCTAAGGTCCCTGCATTTTATGCCCTGCAAAGCACACAAAGCGACACACTGGAGTTTTGATTTGTGTGTCCTGGATTTAGATACTATCTACCAAGTTAGAAGTCACAAGGGATGTGGATAGTCTCCTGTCCTTCTCCAGTTGTCATTATTTTCCCAGCTGCTTTATTTCCTTTCTGCTACTACCTGGGCATTTTTGGCCCCCTGAAGGGCCAACCCACCACAGCCACTGCTTGGCAGCCTTCCTTACCTCGGTGGGTCATGTGACTTTCTAATAGCTCTAATCCATTGGCATTTTTGGGGTGTCCCTGTACTCTTGCATCAGTCCACAGGCATCAAGCAAACCATTTATGCCTTCCCATGTCAGTGTGGTCAGCCACCCCAGGGTTTCCCCCAACAAAAGCTTTATTCCCTTGCCTATTTTTTTCGGTCTCTGGGCTCCTCCTAGCTGGCTTGGCAATTGTGCTGTGAAAGGGAGGTTCTGAGAATGGGACTTCCCTTCAGAAGTCCCTCTTGAGTGGCTCCAAGACAAACAGATCTCTGCAACTCCACCTTCCATAAGACTTGCTTTTACAGTCCAAAAGGCTGGGGGACCACCTTGGAAGAAATGTTTGAGAATCATAGTCCTATCTCCAGAGGAGATCCAGGTCCTTATGCCCCAACGGTGTACTTAAGCATGAAGTGTGAGGCTAAGCAAAAAGAAAGAATAGGGCAGAAGCCTGGTCTAGAAGTCTTCAGATCACAGAGCAGTCGTGGTAGACTTGTCCAAGATGGCATTAGTCTGGTTCACACAATAACGTAACATAACTTTTATATGCCCTGGGGAACCCAAAAAATTAATGAGACTGACTTTATTGTGATACGCACTTTATTTTTTTTCTTCAAATTCTTATTTTAGGTTGATTTATTTATTTATTTTGAAAAAGACAGTATGAGTTAGGGAGGGGCAGAGAGAGAAGGACACTGAGAATCCCAAAGAGGCTCCATGGTGTCATCACAAAGCCCCATGCAAAGCAGAACTCATGAAACCATGAGGTCATGACCTGAGCCGAAACCAAGACTGAGCTTAACCAACTGAGCCACCCAGGCACCCTGTGATGCTGATTTTATGGCATTGGTCTGGAATGGAACCAGCAGTATCTCCAGGATATGTCTGTGATGTATGTCTTATTGGTATAGGATGTTATCCGCATGGTTTTATTTATGGATATAGCTTATACTTAAATATGAAGATAGTTCCTGGAACCCTACCATACCTATCTTATAACCTTTCCGCTGCTCATTAACATACAAAGTATTAATCTCTCCTTAATTCCCTTATCAAGAAATGATTCTTGAATACTTGCTGTGTACACAGAATGATTCATTTCTCTCAAGGATGTCTTAGGCTATTGGAAGAGACAAAACTTGCACAAATGGAGTAAAGGAAAATGCATTTTAAAAGGATCACTCAGGCCAGGGGTGCTGGTTCATTCAGTAGAGCATTGGACTCTTGATCTCAGGATTGTGAGTTCAAGGTCCATATGGGTGTGGAGCCTACTTAAAAATAAATGATTGGGGCACCGGGGTGGCTCATTAGGTTGAGCATCCGACTTCAGCTCAGGTCATGATCTCGCAGTTCATGAGTTCAAGCCTGCATTCACTGCTGTCAGCCAGTCAGTGTAGCGTCTGCTTCAAATCCTCTGTCCCTCCCTCTCTCTGCCCCTCCCCTGCTTACGTGCACATGCTCTCTATCCTTCTCTCTCTCTCTCAAAAAAGTAAAACATTAAAAAAAAAAAAAAGAATGAATGAATGGATCACTCAGGCCAGAAGAGAACAGAAACTAGGACATCAGTTACGAAATGAGCTCATTCATTCATTCAGCAAACATTTACTAAGGGCTTTGTATGTATGTAAGTCAATTTTGTTCTGCCTCAGAGCTATAAAGACAGATTAGCCCCAGTCCTGGCTTTCAAGGAGTTTACCCTTCAGCTTTTGAGGGGACAGATAAGGATTTAAGTATAAAATGGTATTACTGGTACAAGGCACAACAGAAGCAGAAAATTGGGAAGCGGATAATCAGGAGAGGGTCCACAGAGTTGACTTTTTAGTGAAGTTTAGGAAGGATACAAGGTCTTGTACCAGGTGTTTACTGAGCTCAGTCGTGCAGGTGAAGATAAGCCAGTGGAACTGAAGGAGCCAATGGATTAAGGAGGTGTATAGGCAGTAGAACGGCTGATTTTTTTTTTTTTTTTTTAATAACTTTCACTCACTTTCCTTGGTCAGTGAGAACTCTGAAGACTGCCCAGGTGTTTGGGGATCAAGGGAAGAAAGCAAGGAGGAGGAGGAACAGATGTGGGGAGGAAAGATAAGTTTTGTTAGTTTGAAGTACTTGCATAACCTTCACATTTAAATGCCCACTAGGTATTTGGGAACTAAAGCCTGGTGCTCAGGCCCAGGCTGGACATGTTGATTTTTGAGTCTCGTAAACAGACCCTGGAAATACTGGAAGTTGTACAGAAAAAAAGGCAGCAGTTACCCCAGGTCCAGTCCTTGGCTCTGATGGAGAAGAAAATGGAGCCACTTAGTTGTTCAAGCTACTTTTAAAATCAGCATTTAAGTTCTTCAAGTTAGGTACTAGGTTCTTTGATAACAGTTACTTTTTATTTATTTTTTAAAAAAAATTTTATAGTTTATTTTTGAGACAGAGACAGAGCATGAGCAAGGAGGGGCAGAGAGAGAGGGAGACACAGAATCTGAAGCTCCAGGCTCCATGCTCTAAGCTAGCTGTCAGCACAGAGCCCGACACGGGGCTTGAACCCACAAACTGCAAGATCAAGACCTGAGCCGAAGCCGGACACTCAACCGACTGAGCCACCCAGCCGCCCCTAACAGTTACTTTTTAAAAATGCATAATTGTGGGGGCACCAGGGTGGCTCAGTCAGTTATTAAGTGTCTGACTTTGGCTCAGGTCATGATCTTGTGGTTTGTGGGTTTGAGCCCTGTGTCAGACTCTGCTGACAACTTCAGATTCTGTGTCTCCTCTTTCTCTGCCCTTCCCTTGTTCATTTTCTGTCTTTGTCTCTCAAAATTAAATGTTTAAAAAAAAGTTAACAAAGAAAGAAAAAAAGTACATAATTGCAGGGCACCTGGGTGGCTCAGTCTGTTGAGTGTCCAACTCTTGATATCAGCTCAGGTCATGATCGCAGGGTCGTGGGATTGAGTTTCTCGTCAGGCTCTGTACTGAGCATGGAGCCTGTTTGGGATTCTCTCTCTCTTTCTCTCTCTCTCTGCCCTCTCCCCAACATTCTCTTTATCTAAAGTGAAAAATACAGAATAGTTAATCCCACTGCCAAATATTTATTTCTACTTATATTTCTATACAGAAGAAATATTTTTTAATGCCACTTTGTTCATTCACTATAGCCACTACCTTTTGCTTTTAGAGAAGTTAGTAAATGGAAATATGATTCTTACATACAGTAAGTAGGGAAACTTCTTGAAAGCCAGCTAACGAAAGAACAAGAAAATACCCAACAATTGGTACTGAGTTATCCAAAAAGTAGTATTTTCTTTATTGAGGTATAATTAACTTAATATTTTATTAATTTCAGGTGTACAGTGTAATGGTTCAACATACGAGTAATTTGTTTTTAATCCCAGGAATGGAAGATTGTGAAACAATGGAAGATGTATATATGGCTTCAGTGGAAACAGATCGGGGAGTAAAGGAACAATTACATCTTTATGATACCAGGGGCTTACAGGAAGGTGTGGAGCTACCAAAGCATTATTTTTCATTTGCTGATGGCTTTGTCCTTGTGTACAGTGTGAATAACCTTGAATCCTTTCAAAGAGTGGAGCTTCTGAAGAAAGAAATTGATAAGTTTAAAGACAAAAAAGAGGTAAGTAGTTTTGTTAAACATGCTGTGAATTATATTACTATTTAAATTTTAGCATGAACATTTGGGCAGTTAAAATATTTTAATAGCATAAAATTGTATTCACAGTATCTGTAATCTTCATAGTATTTTTTCTTAGCCCAGGAAATATGGGACTGAATGAGTTCATTCAGGACCTGCATGTGACTTTGTGCTGTAGCAAGTTACCGTGTGCGAGCTGAATTTTAGTGACACTGTATCTCAAGCCCTACGCAGTTCCCTTCATATTGTTGGGGGTCACTGGTTCCTAGGGCTCTTTGTCTCATTGGCTAAATAGGATTCTTGTTTTCTGCCTTACCAAAAAAAAAAAAGATTGGATTCTATTCATTTACCATTTAGAGTAAGATCCTTACCAAGGTCTGGCCTGTGTTTATCCTTTTCATCTTTATCATTTTGTCCCTGTCACTGCACTCCAGGGGCACTGGTCTACTTTCTGTTTTCAACATAATGATTTTGTTTCTCTGTTCAGTCCCTGTCAGTTGCTGGTTCCCCTCCCTGGAACTCTTGCCTGCAGATCTTTCTCCAAGTCTTCACCCCAGAGCTCTAGGGCCTGCTGTTCCATCCTCCCAGGAAGGCATAGTCTAACCGGAGTGCAGGGAGCTCAGCTTTGAGGCAGGAACATAGCAGTGGCTTGAATGTCCTAGGTTCAAGGCTGCTCCTTTGGTACCTGCTCTAACAATTCTTACTGCTCCTCTTCTACTTTCCGTTACCTTCTTTTATCGTCTTCTTTACAGTCAAGGGTCTTAAAATTGGATAGTATCCCCCTTCCACTCCCCTCTGCGCTTTGTCTGCCTTGGGACTGCTGTGTACTGGTGGCCTGAAGCTGCATGGTGTGCAGTAAGCTTAAGTGAATGATTGATTGCCTTACATTTTGTGTAAAATGTGCCCATTGGTCCATATATTCAACAGCTTATTTAGTGCTTGCATCAGGCACTTCCCTATGATCAGGAATAATGTGAATAGAATAACAGTTCCTGTTTTCATGGAATTTAGGCTCTAGGGGTGAACTCTCACAGCTCCAGGAGTCCGTATTTTTTAAAAATATGTAATGCTGATTTCCTAAATAGCAGGTATAACTACACTGAAATTAAGACACATTTCAAACTATTACCTGTTATTTTTTAAAATTTATTTTTAATGTTTATTTTTGAGAGAGGGAGAGAGACGTGTGGGTGAGGGACAGAGAGACAGGGAAACTGACCTGAAGTGGGCTCTACATGGCCAGCAGAGAGCCCAGGGAAGGGCTCGAACTCCCCAACTGTGAGATCATGACCTGAGCAGAAGTCAAGACACTCAACGGACTGATCCACCAGGGCGCCCCTGTATTTTCGATAGTAGTATCCCCAAGTCTAGCTTCCATTCATACCTGAGTTGAGTACCACCACCTATTGTTCATTTAAATGTTTCATAGTTGGCAGGCTGTAGAGCATCTGCATTTTTAACAAAAATGCATTAAGGAAGAGATCATTAGGTCATGATCTCACAGTTTGTGGGTTCAAGCCCTGCATCGGGTTCTGTGCTGGCAGCTCAGAGTCTGGAGTCTGTTTCTGATTCTGTGTCTCCCTCTCTGCCCCTCCCCCTCTCATATTCTTTGTCTCAAAAATAAAAGCTATAAAAAACACTTTAATATCTTACTAACTTGATGATTTAAGTCACATCTGAGGATCAGTTTTTTTTTTTGTTTTTTTTTAATGTTTTATTTCTAGGAGAGAGAGAGAGACAGCGTGAGCAGGGAGGGTCAGAGAGAGAGGGAGTGACAGACTCTGAAACAGGCTCCAGGCTCTGAGCTCTGGCAGTCAGCACAGAGCCTGACGCGGGGCTCGAACCCACGAACCGCAAGATCATGACCTAAGCGAAAGTCGGACGCTTAAGCGACTAAGCCACCCAGGCGCCCCATGAGGATCAGTTTTAAAGAAGCATTCTGTTCAGTGGGAGTTTTCTTGATTTCTCTATTGCCTAGGAACTCATTTTGGCAAAGTGTAATCTCTTTTTATTTTCCTTCCAGGTAGCAATTGTTGTACTAGGAAACAAAATCGACCTTTCTGAGCAGAGACAAGTAGATGCTGAGGTGGCACAGCAGTGGGCAAGAAGTGAGAAAGTGCGACTGTGGGAGGTAACGGTTACAGATCGCAAAACTCTGATTGAACCATTCACTCTGTTAGCCAGCAAACTTTCCCAGCCTCAGAGCAAATCAAGCTTTCCTTTGCCTGGGAGGAAAAACAAAGGGAACTCTAGCTCTGAGAACTAAAAATCAGTCATGCGACAAGTGCTGGTGTGCTCGCCTTGAAGTGTTTGTGAGCAGATTTAAATTAGGCCATTTGTGTCTACCTTTGGCTTTTAGGAGACTTTTAAGGAATTCATTTAATGCACTTTAGGTTATAATTAAATTACTTGGGCTAAGTTTATTGCCCGATGTGAAGTATTTGCATTGTTAATGCTTGCGGGCTTGTCCCTGAAATCAGCACCTTTGTTATTTATACTTTTGTTGCGCTTCTGCTTCTCAGAACCGCAAACAATAAAGTTTGAGTAGGATGCAGGTATGAGTAGCTCCGCTACCCCCAACTTGTTTCAGAAGCCATTTTTCTGTGTAACTTCATGCCCACTTCTTAGTTCAAATAAAACTTTGTTTTTAAGTTCATTAATCTTCTAATGTCTAGAATTATGAAATAACATTGTTAGATTAAACAGTGAACTCTGGTGTTAAACTAAATTTTATTTTGTGGAGACCTTGTTAAATAGAACAAACCTGTCTATGATTTAGCTTTGTTCAGATTATATGGTTAGCATGACTTGATGTAGTGGGTGGTGTAAATATGCTTCAAATGTTGGCTTTTTCTTTAGAAAACTAATAAGCCCTTGAGGACAACTAAAGCTTCCATTTTCCACAAGTAATACTGTACCTTCTGCAGTCATTTTCTGGATACTTGGTCACGTGGAATAGAATGTATCATGAAAATACTGGACTGCAGGTAGTCTTCATTCAGGCCAGATGGCTGAATGTGTGCTATGGTATTCTTTGAAAATTCTGGCAGTATCCGAGTATTGGGACTAACTGTAGTTTGCAAGTTGGCAATATTGTAACTAATTTTAGAAGTAGGAAGTAAGCTATTGTTTTGACTGGGAAAGCAGCTATTTGATTTATATGTAAAATATGAGGGGCACCTGGATGGTGCGGTGGGTTGAGGGTCCAGCTCTTGATTTGGGCTCTGGTCATGAGCTCATGGTTTGTGAGTTTGAGCCCTGCATGGGGTTCCACCCTGGCAGTGCAGAGCCTCTGCTTGGAATTCCCTCTTTCCTTCTCTCTCTGCCCCTCCCATGCTCCCTTGCTCTTTTCCCTCTCAAAATAAACTAAAAAAAAAAAAGAAAAAAGAAAAAAAAAAGAAACCTTAAAAATGTAAAATATGAAATAAGCTGTTCAGCACTGTTAAGACATCCAGTAAACTGTAACTTTAAAAAAAAAAAAAAAAACTCTACCCCCGCTATGGGGCTTGAACTCATAAGCCTAAGGCTCCTAAGTCTCATGCTCTTCTGACAGCCAGCCAGGTGCCCATAAATTGTCATTTCTTAAGTGGAATACTTTTAAGGCTGGGCTCAGTGAATTTCAAGTCAGTCAGTTCATTTCTGTGAGTTCAAGCCAAGAACTGTCTGTAAAAGGTATGAAACTTGTAAATCAGCCAGTGTTGCTACTATTTAAATAGTTAAAATTGTCATCGCAAATTATTTTTTGCCAAAAAATTATTCAGATAATGGTTAAGTCATTCCCAGTTTTCTTGTATTTTTTACATAGATGGATACTTTTGTAGTGATTTAAAAATAGCAGTTCTCTGGAGCAGATGCAAAGAAACTACTGCTGGATATATGTATACTTCAGTACTACCAGACTGCCCTCTAAGGGAGTTGCGTTAAGTTAGCTATGAGGATCCATCTTCGAAAGATGACGGCTTAGATTCTCTAAACTTTTCTAAGACGCCCCACCGCCCCAAACCTATCTTGCAAGGCTGAGAGCATACTAGTCCTAACCTGGGTCCTTGACAGTTGTGCAGTCTGCATTACTCGTAGGTTGTTTAGTAGCAAAGCTCTATCAAGTTTAGAAGAATCTGTGCGGGGCGCCTGAGTGGCTCAGTCGGTTAAGCATCCCACAAGTCTTGATCTCACATTCCCGTGAGATCGAGTCCCACTTCAGGCTCTGCTCTGACAGCACAGAGCCTGCTTGGGATTCTCCTCTCCCCCTCCCCCACTCTCTGAGTAAAATAACTTAAAAAGTCTGGAAACCACAAACAGGCAAGACAAAGTAAACAAATACGGCAGTGTTACGTGGGTGTTTTAATATTGTTTATTAGCACAGTAACAAATGCAGACTTAAGTAGTCCACAACATAGAACCAATCCACTGAGCAACTCCTATTTCACACCTTACAGTTAACAGCTTAAGGTATTTTACTACAGGTTTTCACAAGTCGTGATTCAAACCTCTCATCTTGTCACAATAGATTGGTATATAAAATAAAATACATAACTACTCATATTTCCTATATGGTGTCTTATAGCCACATATCCATTTTATATATATGAGATGACAGTCTCTAAAAACTGTTAAATATCGATGTTCCCTCCCAAGAAGGAAAAGCAAATTCCAATTTTTTTGAACAACAACAGAAAATGTGTAGTCTTGGAAGGACTTTACAGAAATGGCCATGTGTATAACCTGTACAAAATTAAGCTATTTTAAATTTACAGACTACAAGCAACTGAACCCAAATGTCTATTCTCTGTACTACATTTCAGCTAATATTGCAGAACTTATGACAGTTTTAAAAGTTGCTATTACCAATTCTGTCTACTGTAGCAAGATACCTTAAGTTACAACAAAATCTTAGGAAATAAGACTGAATAATATCTGTTATAGAAATACCCTACTCTTTACCAACTCCCACCCTCCCCCACCCCTTCAAAATCATAAGCAGCTCTCTCTGTGACAGACAAATAATGTAAGAACTGTGAAGACCCAATTTATGTAGCGTATCTCTTGGTCCACTGTCTGGCCATTCTGTCATGTTCTGCTCTGTTGGTCATATACTGAGTGGCAATACTTCCCACCAAAGGGTCAGCTGGAAGGAAAGAATACAGATTACTTTGGAGAAAGGAAAAGAAAGTTTTAAAATTTAACAAATAAATTAGTGACAGCTTGGAAGGAAACACAGTTTTGAAATGCCATTCCATCATCCTGGATACTTTTTCTTTCTAAAACCTGTCATGCGGAGGTGGGGGGAGGGGAGACAGAATGCTCAGGCTTTTAGTACCAGTGTGGCTTTATCTCCTTAGTTCATTCTATTTTTCTCCCAACCACCACCACCTAATTGGAAGTGTTTTTGCTTTTAGGTGTTATGAGGAGGTTCAATAAAAACTGGAAAGTTCAAGGCTAAGATGAACATCCAGCTGTGTTCACCTGACTGTTCCTTCAGGGCAATACTGTAGTCCTCTGGACTATTGCAGTGTGACACTAGTTACCTAGAAAAAGCCAGGCTGCCTGATCTAAACCTGGACGTCAACAATTAAATGTAATGTTGCTCTGAAACCTAAACAGAATCTTTAATAATAAAAGGAAATTAAGCCCCTCCCACACCTGCCCAAATCAGTCTGGTAAGAACTATTCAGACAAAGTATCACTTTCAAACTGAACACCAGCTATGGGGCAAGTGAACTTAGTGAACCAGAGGGCACAGGAGAGGTGAGGCCAGTGACTCAACATTGGTAAGTATGTAGTTTAAGAGAACTGCATTAAAAACGTGAAAACCTAGGGCAAACTTAGGTAAGCCTTTATTTTAAAACACCTCATTCCTACAGCATAGAAGTGCTGCCTTTTTCAACTAGTAGAATAAACTTCTCTTGATTAAAACTTTGGGGAAAAAAAAATCAGGGGCGCCTGAATGGCTCAGTTAAGCTTCCGACTTAGTGACTTTGACAGCTGACAGCTCGGAACCTGCTTCAGAGTCTGTGTGTCTCCCTCTCTGTCTGCCCCTCCCCTGGCTCATGCTCTGTCTCTCTCAAAAAAAACAAAACAAAACAAAACAAAACCTGTTTTTGAGGGAAAAGTTTTTGTCCCTTGAAGGCTCTTTGAACTTTATCAAAAACAAGTAGTTTTCAGTTCAGGAAGAAAAATAAATAATTATCAACCTTACCAGGATTACAGTCTGTAAGAAGGGAGCAGATAGAAAGGAGAACTTTAGAAATGGTTAGTGCTGGACTCCAATTATCTTTTAATATGTCCAAGCAAATAACTCCTTGGCTGTTAATATTACAGTGATAAATTCTTGTCCGAAATGTGACCTAAAAAATAAGACAGTGTTAATAAAATTTAAACAGCAAAGAATGAGAATTTTTACTAAACTGCCTTTTCAATGGAGTGGCCCTAATTAAAAATCTTTAAAGAAACATTTAGTTCTTAAAAAGATGAGTAGAGAGTTTAAATTAAAGCTGAGAAGATACATTAAAAGACTAATAAACCTGAGTTTTCATTGATCCAATTGTAGTCATGTCAAAAGTTATATCAACAAAAAGCAAAGTAATTTCAGTATTTCTCAAATTCATCTTTAGCAGGTTCAGTGTTTTAAGTATCTTCCCAACTTTTCAAGTTTCAAATAGCTAATTGTTTGCTGACCTCTTGTGTTAGCTGGTAGTATTACATGGCCTCAAAGTAAGCTTTTTATAATACAAAATTGAGGGACAACATAGTGGGAACATAAGCAAAATGCTTAACTGTAAAGGCTGTTAAGAAAACTGAAGATGAGATTTATTTCCGCTTTTTCTGACTTTTACATTAGAGCCTGCGGGTATGCTGCCTACCTAGGTCACAGAATTCACTGTTAATGGAGCCTCAACAGGTGAGGAGCCAGAAATGGGTAAGCATCACAGCAGTAGACAAATTAACACAAGCCAGAGGAGCCTGGGTTGCTGTTTTTGGTTTCCTAATTTCTATTTGTGAGATACACAGAATCCTTCCAAAGTAAAAATTATCATTTAGTAAATGAGAATCATAAAGTCTCACAGGAGGTAAGACACTACGTGAGAAAACTGAAGACACTAGATGACAATCTGAATGAGACCAAAAGATGACTAGGAACATAGATATTTTGACAGTTTTTAACTGTTGGGTAAGCTGCTTTTCTGCTGAGTGGAAAACGGGATTAATTCTGAGTTGCTATGTCACTATAAATAGCAGGATTCTAAGCACCATCAAAACAAAGCACACATGGTCTCCTAAGACATGGTCTCTGCCAAGACAAAAAGCCGCCCCCCATGCGTGTTTTGTGTCCATCCTAACGTACTCGGAGATTCATTAAGATACAACAGAAATCTACCTTTTGTGACTAAACTCATTTTTAAATGTTTCAGTAGTCTCTCTTGGGAATATGTAAATTTGAATACAACTCAGGAAATTCTTACCTTTGGAGGCTTGAAGGGGTATTCAGGTGTAAAAGTGATATCAAGGAAGAATACACCCCCCTCGTACACGGATCCTGGAGGCCCTAGAATGGTTGATCTCCATTCATAGATGTTATCGCCTTTGGGACCAGCACTGTGAAATAATACATTGAAAAGTAAGGAGGTAGTATGGCATTGTCCACATTTTTAGAGGACATTTAAAAAGGGAAAAAAAGATGACCTCGTCTCTTCCTTTTTAATGTGTGGATTCCCTCCACAAAACAGAAGTGTCTTTCAGACAGGCTGATTCTGGACTGCAACAAACCCATCAGCCTTAGGTCAAGTAAATGGAATGATAAAGAACGTGTAAACCATTCTAAGCCTACTTAGGCTTTGAATAAGCAAGAAATTCCTCAATTCTCAAACCTCTCCTCAATACATCATAAAAAATGTAAATGATACTGGTCATTTCTGATGACTATTTTAAGCATAAAGTTTCATTTCTGACCCACTGACGGGGGTTCTTGTTCCTTGCTCTATTTCCATAATCCTCCCCTAAAAGGGAGTCCAATGGATTGCAGAACTTTTTACATTATAAACCATGATGGGTGGGAGGCACACAAGAATGACAATGCATCCAATGACAAGTTATTCAATTTGCATTTCAACATATAAAGTTTTATAATCAGGTTCTCTAAATATTACAGTTGGGACATTAATCTATCCCTATCCCTGTTAAATAACTGTTATTTATACTTAGTTATACCCTAATACCCTTTCAAAGCACTGTGTTGTTGGCTTCCAGGGTGCTCTGTACACAAGTACACTAATGATTAATAAAATAGAAACAAACAAAAATAGAAAATTATTTACCCTCCAAGACCAATGAAGAGCTTAATATATCTGCCCAAACAAGTAAGTGTAGGCAGGACTCTGGTATTTAGGAGAGAGGAAAAGATAAATTTGGGAAATGGTTTTAGGTCCTAATTTCAGGGGAGGGGCATGTGGGGGTGGGGAAAGCTGAGGGAGGGGCACAGAGAAAGAGAGAGAATCCCAAGTAGCTTCCATAGGATGGAGCCTGATGTCATGACTGTGAGACCATGACCTTGACATGTTTGTACCCAGCATACATACTTGGGCAAAGTCTAGAGACAGTGGCCAGTACAGCTAGGGCACCTGTTTACCAGACTAGAGTTAACTGAAAAGTGGGCTAAAGAGATGAAGACACCACTGATCTACAGCCTGTGGAGAATAGATGAATAATCTAGCTTGTGATATGTAAGGCTTAAAGGCAAAAAGCAATCATCTGCTGTAAACTTTTTTTTTTTTAAACAGATGAGGAACCAAAGCCCCAAGGAGAAGCTAGACCATCTAACATCTAAAACTCAGTAATGGCAGCACTCCAGACTGTTTTCCTCACAGTCAGCTTGGTGATACTAAGAGACAGACCCAGAAAAAACTAACAGTAGAGTCGGTTTAAGAGTCTCGTTGACATGGGCTCAGTTCTGCTGACCCCTTAGTACAGAAAAAAGATAAAAGAACAAAGGTTTAACAATATACCATTATAAGCAGCTTTTATGGATTGTACAGAAATGTAGTGATTTCCAAATTTCACAGTTCATCAACATAACCTATGGAACTTTCAAGTTTCAAGATTCCTGGCCCCCTCATCCCAGGCCTACTGACTTTAAAATATCCAGAAGGGGCTCAAGAATCTTTGGTGATCTTTGAACAGGTATTGGTTGCACTGGGGAACCACTGGTTCTGGTGACTGGAAGGAAGAGAACCAGTTTAGAACATAGCTTATCACCTGTGATACAACTGTAAATGCAAATCAAGATGGCTACTTGTTTGTATCCAGTATTCACTTTGGGTGTAAACTTCTCTGCAAGTTCAGAAAAAAAGTATAGAGAAGGGGCATTAAGGAATCAAGTATACAACATAAACATAACCGTAACAACAAAAAACCCATACCACACTTCTGTTAAGCATTAAAATAGAATACATTGGGTTATAATAAAAATAATACAAAGTGAAATAGTATCAAATTAGTTGAGATCCTAAAGCATGCAACAGGAGCCCTAAAGAAGACTAAACAGCGTGGATCCCTAACCTGTCAATCAGGAGACCTGGTAGTTACAGTGAAGGATCTGAGAATCCATTGGAAGAAACAAGCATTACTGCCTAAATAAAAACTTTACTTACTTGAAAGCTGTTACTGGAGGAATTTATGTAACCTTTTGTCATATGCATTTTATTAACCATAAAATGAAATCTTAAGGGGCCTGCAAATCTTTTTGCCTTTTTTTCCCCTTCCAAGTTCTCACTGTGAAAGTTATTACCTCTACTGGTCTGGAAGGTGGGTAGAGAGACCTTGGGGGGGGAGTGGTTTGCAGCTCTCACTGGGCCACTGTGAAGGAGAACGGGGAGCCAGGGAATGTTTACGTGAGACACCTGTAAAGGGAAAGGTCTGTTCCAGCACCCCACCCTTTTCTCTGTAAAATGACTAACTAGGTTTACCCTCAGGTTAGCATTTTCTTTTATCAACCTTCTGTCCCCACCCTTTAAGATACTTTTTAGTTTCACAATAAGAAATATGACTTCAGTTTCTAACACTGGTTGAACTGCACTTGAGAATGGCATGTGATTTAGATTATTAATCAGTTTTAAGTAATTAGAAAGTATGGGACATGGGGGGAGTTGAAATCAAGGCGAGATGGGAACAAAATAATATAGGTCCCTGTTTGAAGATGTTGCAACATACCTGTGGTTAGAATCTTGGCATGAGGCAGAGACTGAGAAAGCGAAAGGAAACCATGCCTTTGCCTTTCAGATTGTTAGAAAATTGTTTTTAACAGAAACACTTTTCAAAATAAATGTATAATACACAGAACTCTTATATGAGGCAAAAACGAAAAAAAATCCTGCCCTTGATAATAGTCTTTCAAAATAGAGCTGTGCCAAACATTTTAAGAAAAATAATAGGGGAACCTGGCTGGCTCAGTTGGTAGAGTTTACTGGTCTTGATCTCAGGGTTGTGAGTTCAAGCTCCATATTGGAAGCTTTTAAAGCTTACTTTAAAAAAAGATAGTCATTTCTACTTTTGACACAGTATTTTCTTATTTCTGTAATAGTTTCTGACTTCAGATACATTAACATTAGTGGCAGGGATTGTCATGAATCCTACCACTCTTCTGACAGTACAGGTGCCTGCTGACTGATGGGCACCATACCCCTTGAGTAAGTAACTCAATGACAAGGACTCTCACATCTACCAACCCTTCCCTTAATCTTTGAAACCCATGTTCTCTCCAGTGACCATGTGACAAGGCAGTTACAGGTCATAATTCTCGTGCCTTATAAACACTAAATTGGTAATTTAACAGAATTTGAACAGCATAAAATGTAATCAGTACAAGTCATTTAAGGTATAATTTTAAGAAATAAACCCAATTAGAAAAACTGTCCTTAGAGCAGTCTTACTGTGGAATTTGATGTGTTCTTTGTGATTAAGATAATCACATAAACTAATGTTTACTTTTTTTTTTTTTTGATGTGTATTTATTTTGAAAAAGAGAGTGGGTAAGGGGCAAAGAGAGAATCCCAAGCAGGCTCCACACTCAAGGCAAAGCCCGATGGCAGAACTCAATCTCACAACCATGAGATTATGACCTAACTTGAAATCAAGAGTCAGAGGCTTAACTGACTAAGCCAACCAAGCTCCCTTTATTTTAAAATCATGTTTTGGCATAAAAATATTAACTTACTATATAGACTCAATACTAACTTACTATACAGACTACTGTTCTTCCATTTCAACAGCAACCGAAGATGCATTTCACTTTTTAAAGAACATCCTGGAAGCAAGGTGAAATTATAAAGCTTATATTTCTATCAGATCAATTTTTCACATTTTTATTGGGAGAGATGACCCTTGCTTACAAACATAGAAGCCTTTTAGGCTTAATTCTAAAAAGCTTGGTTATCTGCTCTCCAATCCTAGGGAAAAAGTTGAGGGGTAAGAGGTTGGGAAGATGAAAAGATAAGTATACTACAAACATTTGAATAGCAACAATATGAAGTGAAAAATGGGACAAGTTAGCAAATGTGCTAGCATATTTCTCAAAAAAGAGTAGAAACTCATGATGAATTCCATCAGAAGCTCATTCTACCACCTGAAAAGCCCAAGTAATCTCTGCTAGTTTCCCATAGTATGATGACTAATGCTTCATAAAAATAAAGTGCTGGCAAATACTGTTGATTGGCTTAGTCCACGTCTTTTCTCTTCTTTGTAGAACCTTCACAAAAGCAAACCAGTTGCTTATACAAGGTGTGTTACAGCCTAAAATCCCCGCAAATTCACACATTTTAATTGTAGCCTTAAAGCAGTTCTCAATAGAAGATGGTTTTATCCCCCAGGGAGACATCTGGCAATGTCCTGAGATATTTTTAGATGTCACAACTCGGAGGAAGTGTGCTATTGGCACCCAGTGGGTAGAGGCCAGGGGTGCTGCTAAGTAAACATTACCCCATGTACCAGACAGCCTCCTATACCAAAGAATTCCCTCAACCCCAAAATGTCATTAATTCCAAGGATCAGAATTATGCCTCAGAGAAATCTGCTCAAGGTTGAGCCAGTAAAGGTAAGAGCCTCGCAGTCTGAATCCCTGTTGTCAGACTCTAGCGTCCATCCTCTTATCTTTGTTTTACTGCTCGGCGCCTGGTACAGAAAAAACATTCAGTATACAGGGTTATTGTTATTAAAAGTTAGAGGTTTGCATATGCCCTAACTGGTCCCTGGACTAAATAACATCAGCATCCTCTGGGAGTATGTTAGAAAAGCAGGCTTAGACTCTTCCCCCACACCTAATGCATCAGAATTTGCAAATTAAGTCTGAGATCCTAGCTATAGAGGACATTAAGTGGCAAATGAATCCGAACTCTACCTTTTAAACTTCTAGATTTAAATTACCATTTATATTATCTAGCTCTTTCCTTTGCTGTCTGCAATTCTTTGCAGTAGGAAACAAGTATCTACACTGGTAACGCTTAGTTAAGACTATATAAAATCAAATAACCAGAGAACTTAGAAAATGCTTATAGGAAGAGATCCACAATCTATATTCCCTACAACATACTATTCAAAATCCATCAATTTACTCTTATTCTGCTGATAAATTCAAAGAGAATATGACAAAATAGTATGAATGCAACAATCTACCAGAGGGAATCCTCCTCTCCCACAATCATCTCCCAACAGACACTCTCCAGGGAATGAAAGAGGTCTTCTACCCATGACGGCTACATAGCACATACAGAGGAATTTTATAAAAAGTAAAAAGCTTCTTGTCCACACCATCCCTTCATAAGACAGTAGCCATTTGTAACCTAGAAGTGAGTGGCAGAAGGAACCTGTAAAGTCAGAACACCTCAGTAAGGTGACTACCAGATTAGTTACATGGCTTGGTGAGATGACATGGCTACTAAAAAGTGGGTCAGTCACTCTCTAATAACAAAGGGAGGCCTCCGCCTACAAATTGGTACTGCTAGGGATGTACCATTCACGTTACCATTCTCTGGAAAGGACTTGGGGTTCAAGGGCCAACCTAAAGAACTCCCCCAGAACAGCTGGTGCCCACATAAGAATTCAGTGTATCTAAACAATTACATTGGAACAGAGTGGGCCCAAATTAGAGGATGACATTTTCCTACAAATGGGAGGGAAACTGGCTCAGACATTCAAGACCTAAAACAACATGATCCACATTCATGAAGAATGGCATTCCCACAAAGCCCCCCTGAAATTGTATTATATCAACGTTGCGGAAATGGTGCATGCGGTCTTCCTCCACGAGAAAGGGGATAAATCTTCAAAGGGACTTGACACAACTTCTGAAATACAAGGCTGATTTTAGGCCTATTGAAGACGTAGAGTTCATTTTTGAGATTTGCTCCAAACCAGAAAGAACAGATTTGTAGGCATTGACACAAACTGCTACAGCCATATAGATACATCATCTCTCTCACATCAGATTTTAAGTCTCCAGAGAACAGTAATTTTTCCACACACCCTATAGGACTTAGCAAAATAATAATTAACATTATTTAATTACCTGGCCAAAATATGTGCCACTGTTCAGAATTACACGACAGTGCTTCCAAACTAGGTGAAATAACAAAACACCACAAAAACTCTATCTTACTCAGCCAGCCATTCAATTGTAGTTTTACTTTATATGTTGTTGCTTTAGAAAACAATCCAGCCCTTCTGGAAATTTACAATCCAATCTTTAAAAAAAAATTCGATACACACAGAGTAAGGACACAATTTTAAAAAGAAAACTACTTTCAAGAGTCAACAGTAAGGTGAAACAGCAGCAGGCGGTGAAACAGCAGCAGGCCTAAAAAACTGTGGACATCAATGGGTCCTTACCAGTAAGGAGGGAAGGCTGAGTAATTAAAGTGTTTGGTAACTAAGCTAAGAGTCCCACTTTAACTTCTGGACTACTGACATACAAGTGTGGGTAAGGTACCAAGCAAGTGAGATGCAAACTAGTCAAATGTCAAGGGCCTGAAAGAAACAGGGGCAGGGAAGGGTGGAGAACAGCACATAGAAATGATTAGAGAGAATTAAGTAAGAGATCAGCATCTCTTTTGTCTCAAAAACCATCTTTTCTGTATTAGGTTATATGGAAGCTACACAAGCTTCTTATAAGTATGCTTCACACCGTGCACAGCACGGAGCCCAATATGATGCTTGAACTCATGACCCTGAGATCAAGAACCTGAGCTGAGATCAAGAGTTGGATGCTTAAGCTGCTGAGCCACCCAGGCGTCCCCTAAAGAACAACTGTAATTTGCTTTCCCCGGAGAAGTTAGAAAGAACAGAATCATGTTCTAAGGCTAAGGTGATTACTACTCTGCTGCCACTAAAATAATCCCGAGCAGGGTGTCTGCCTGAGAGTCAAGAGGTAGTCTTAATTTTTAAGCGCAATGCTTTTATTAGTGAATATAAAACTGCTATCTATGTGAGTAAATAGAAATCAATTATTAGTCTCTGGTTCTTATAGTAGTTAGTTCGCAGGGCCTACAAAGCACAACCACCTCTTCTAATGGAATGCTCATTGTACTGTGAGTAATAATGGGGGGAGACAGAACCTCTTGTGTAGACTTTTGGAGTATGTACAGGCGGTCGCACTTCTACCCTGCACACATTTAGTGCTGATTCTCAAAAGCAACAGTGTCACAAGGAAAGCTATTTGAGGGATACCAAAATTCTCAAAAAGGAATTT